CTCTCTCTCTCGCTCTCTCTTTCTCTCTCTCTCTCTCTCTCTCTCTCTCTCTCTCTCGCTGATTAGTTTTTGAGTGCCGATGGCTGCGTCAGCTGCAACAGACGCTTTGACACATGATCCCATGGCAACGCGCAGTGAGGGAATCTATTATTAGATTATATATTACTCATTATCTTTTATATTCCTCAACATAATATAGTTATTTTTGGACTTGATATGGACCGAGCTAGCAATGCTATCAAGAGCGTAATACGTAAGCATAATACTTAATACGTTTTTGGTGCTATATAAAGAAGGTCGCAGTATTCTCGCTTAAACTGATATCTCGGAATATGAAATGTAAAGAAGAAAAAAAGCGGAGTAGAGCTAAAAACAAATCGCTATTGAAAAACGTGCAATTGGCGTAAAATGGCGGAATTTGGTCGAATTAAAATTGACGCATACTCTCCATCGAAATCTCCTTATTGGTGTCGAATTAGAAGGTCATGAACTTTCTGCATCAACGTGCGCATGGCTCTATTACGACATAGTAACGCTTTATAAAGATTCTATGCAAGACGGTAGGTAGACATATCACTGGTTTTACCCTGCTGTGTGTGTGTGTGTGTGTGTGTGTGTGTGTGTGTGTGTGTGTGTGTGTGTGTGTGTGTGTGTGTGTGTGTGTGTGTGTGTTTGTTTCTGTGCGTGTGTGTGGGTGTGTTTGCGTGAGAGATATAAAAAAGTTATACTCCCCACGTCTAAGCAGCTACATACCACAGCAACCACTCGCCACTCACGACATGACTACTTACCACAGACGTAAGTGACAACAGCATAACTAGTCACGCGCACACCAGTCTTCTGAACGGTCGACTGGCAGGCGAAATCTTCTAGCTGTTCGCTTCTGATCTGGATTCCGCACAATCTCTGACCGTTACATCTGTCCTCTACCAGCCGGAGTCTGCCGCTATCAATGGCTGTCAGAGAGCAGGCAGCGCTCTCTTCTACTTGAATCTCTGTTTGAAGGAAAAATGGGTTCGAAAGTTGTTCGAATTTGTTATCGTTAAACGCGGCAGCCGCGCAGATCATAAATCAACGCAATAGATGTTTTCACTGAGACATTTAGCAGGACTCGAAAAATGACGTTATGAGATTATTATGTTAGGTTTCCAGTTTGCATGCAGCATAAATAACATTGTACCGGTGCCGTTGTCATGGCAACTACGCGTGTCCTCGGGTGCGCGTCCGTATTTAATGCTGGTGATGCGTACGAACCCAACCTCGCATGCCGCGTAGACGTAACCATCGTCATCGTCGCACACCGTCAGCCTATGCTCGGCTGCAAAATCATAGATATGCCAATAGCGCGCGTGGTTCATTCCACGGCCATGCGACGCGCAATGCAATTCAATTCAATTTGCAATTTAATTCCAAGGCAATAGGAATGTCATTATGTATAGGAACGTTACTAAAGAGTACGCTTGGGATATATCTACTCGGTGTGGTGCGTAAATTATTTCTTAATTATATATATTTTTAATTAACGGTGCACCTGATACCTCTGTTCGTGCGATGATTGCCTGTAGAGAAGCTAACGTTGAAACCAGCTCTTGTTTTTTCAGAATCCGAGAAAAATCGGAGAAACATGCGATTTGTGAGAGACGAGATCCTTCGGATATCGCTACTGCCGCATAGCATTCTGGACACGAGATGAAATAAAAATAAGAGTATTATATACGAATATAGTACGAATATAGTACGAATACTGTCTACATGTACATGTCTGCAATCAACCATAGAATGTTTGGGGAATTATTTACCACTCTTGACTACGATAGCTCGATGGCATGAATACATTCGAAAGTATTCTATGCATATCACTAGACAAGCCCTCTTCCTCTTCCTCTCCCTCGCTCTCCCTCTCCCTTCTCTCTCTCTCTCTCTCTCTCTCTCTCTCTCTCTCTCTCTCTCTCTCTCTTTCTCTCTCTCTATCTTTCTCTCTCTCTCTCTCTTGCTTTCTCTCTCTCTCTCT